TTGGAATAGTAGAGAAAACATACCATTCAACCAATAGCCTGATAGGAGGGTGACTTTAAGAGATGACCAAGGGACTTCAGTAGATTCGACAGTCACGTACACCAATGTCACGGGGATGTAATTAGTTTTGTGTTGTTTGTTGTTGTTGTTGTTTAACGCTCAACTCAGCAATATTCCAGCTACATGGCGGAATACTGTAAATATTCGTGTCTTTACCAGTCAATCCAGTCATCAACATCATGAGATTCGATCTTGGGAATTGGGATACGATAACATGTGCCAACCAAGACGGCGAGCCTGACCACCCGATCCCGTTAGTCGTCTCTAAGGACCAGCTTGGGTTGCTGCAGATCACTTCTAAGCCAGATCTTCACAAGTTGTAATTACCAGTCAGAGGACGTCCGGTACTATAGCTACCTGGCAACCGGAGCGGTGGGGTGGCCTAGTGGTTAAAGCGTTCGCTCCTCACGCCAGTGACTCGGATTATGGGTAACGTTAAAGGAAATATGCATGCATTCAACTCTTTTCCTCAATTGTTTGTGACACTTCAGTTTTGGTGTGTGTGTTTTGTTCAATTGGATGCCCTAAATTCATTTTCAGTGTTGGAAACTGTTTTGCATGAATGAAAGGGAGACAACACTACCGAGATCATTCCGAGGTCCCAGCGGTGTTAATGTACTCCAGAGAGGAAGTAAGCACATAAAAGAGGCTAAACAACAGTCAATCATATACCTGTGGAACAAGTGAACCGAGAGTGCAAGAGACAACATCGTGTTCGGAGGGAGCGTTGCTCCGCTCTAGAATACTTTGGTGAGCACTAAGCATCAAGTGCTTTATATTTTTTTCTGTATGGGTATTTCCAATGACCTCAGTTTGTAATTCAATAGACTTAGTGTAATGCTGCTTTGAATAGTTGTACCGTAGTAATTCAGTTAGATGAGCATGAAGACGAGGGACACACAAAATACTGTGAGTAGACCATAGCTATACAAGAGCGGACAAGGGGATTTGGTGTCATTTGGTAAGGTGGGGTAAAATTGGGTTTTACGTCCTGCTTGAGAATATTTCGCTCATATGACGACGTGCATGCGTGTGTATGTGTATGTGCGGCTGCTTGTACTAGCCCAGATGTAAGCTGGTTTTATAGTGCTAGCTCACTGAGATACCAGGCCGCAGTGAAGCATGGATACCCCACTCAGACACATTATACTGACTCCGAGCCGACCAGTCCTTGTTGTACCCATTAATGCCGAGCGCCAGGCAGGGACCAACAAGTACCATATTTTAACGTCTTTTGGTATGACGCGGTCGGGTATCAAAGTCAAAGATGTTTATTGTACAAAAGGCATCCGGTCCATATACATTGGAGTTATACATATACATTATACATATGGTGCAATAAGTAGTAATTGGTGATCCAAACAGCAAATCATGATACAGGCAGTAAATTATGCACAAGTAGTGAAATACGATGGACATACAACACTTTTTATCAGATTGTTACGCTTAATAAGAGCATAAGTGATATAGTACGACAGCTTTATTATTACATGCTGGTCAGTTGATGAAAGAAGTAGTTTAAATGCTAATGTAGGTAGCTTACGTAGATAATATTCAGCTATATATTTCGTACGCAAATCTTTATACAAAGGACATACAAGCAAAAAATGGATTTCATTTTCCACATCTATATTACACAATGGGCACATTCTCTTGCATCGTTCAATATAGAAACGTCTTCCTTCGTTTACCATTATGTTGATCAAACCTAACCTCAAACGTATAAATGGATATCTTAATTTCTTCGATGTTAAAAACGACAGATATTTCACCCGCGACCTTCCGCTCTCCGGGCGGACGCTCTAACCACTACACCACGGAGGCGGTCGTGTCATTTGGTCCTATCTGATACAGATGTATGTATATTCCAGATGTTATTGCTGAGACTAGATCACAAATCTAGGATATCAGTCTGAGATGCTGTCAGTCCACATTAGAAGTATGTTTCAACTAGCGAAAATTATTCTTTGACGGGGATACTTTTGGAAAATAAGAGTTTAATTAAATTTGAAACACATATAGTGTCACTTTGTTCAAAGTATTTTTCTTTTGGTGTTTGTGAAATGGAACATACTCTGTTTATGAAAAACGTCAAGTATATTTTAAGGATGAATGGAATTCCAAAGATACATGATTACAATAATAGGAAAGATACAGTTTCCCTAACAACCATATGCATGAACATTCCCGAAACTTTTAAACATACGCTTAATGTACTTTTCTGGTAAACCTTCCGAATGAACAGCTGCTTCTAGTAATATACTACCTGTTGACTTCTTTATGTCCAAACTTTGCCCTCACAGAATAAAAAAGTTGTATATCCATAAAATTATCATCATTCTTGATCACCTCAACTTCTAAAATGTCCATCAAAGTAATGTCAAGTATTAATTTTGAAATTGAGCCAAAAACAAACAAAAAAACCACACACATGAAAGAGATCCATGATAGCCTAATTTGGCTTTGTTATTTGTTGGTATTTGTGCGTTTTGTGTAACGGCACCCAGAGCAATATTCCAGCTGACAATCCAAACTGAGTGCAGGTAGTAATAATTATTCCTTTTCATTGATAATTGTTTTATAAAGTTTGATTGGATTTGATTTGATTAATCAGCCTGATTAGCAATGTGGTCCTTGATGTCGAGCCAGACGAGACAAAACTGTTACATTCATGATCCAAATAGGGCGAGGGGGCTGCTTGAATTTTAATTGTTGCACGTGCAATATAACTTTAACTGTGTAAAAGGTATGTTTATATGGAAAAGGTATTACTATATGCTGATTTCTGTGAAAAAAAGCAAGAGTTTCAGATTCATCGTGCATGTTGCATTTCAACTTTATCCTTGACATTGTGTAGGAACATAACAGTTGCAAACAGGAAGCTGCAACATTTAGTTTAGATTGCACACCTCGGGAGGTGATATAATGAACTCAACTTCTATTTGAAGTATCAAATCATTTGCTAGCATCATCAAAAACTGTTCACTAAAGTTGGGGAATATTTCATCACCTTTTCCAAAAACAAATGCAAAGCAGTATAACTAAAACATACTGGAGAATTTACAAACGTAATGTTTGACACAGAATATGCTCATCGTAGACTGATTTATATTGGACACATCACATATTATCAACATGAAACATCGGGTAAGAGTAAGTGAGTCAGTGAGTTGGGTTTTACGCCGCTTTTAGCATTATTCCAGCAACATCAAGGCGGGGGACACCAGAAATGGGCTTCACACATTGTGTCCATGTGAGGATTCGAACCCGGGTCTTCGGCGTGACGAGCCAACGCGTTAACCACTAGGCTAAACCACTGCCCCGCTATGAAAAGAAATCATCCCCATTCTGTACATAAAAATTATTGCACTTTTTGCATGAATCTTGGAATGGCAGAGAAAACCATTCATCTATTCACGGGGATGTAATTATTTCTGTTCTGTTTGTTTATTTCTTGTTTAACGCTCAACTCAGCGATATTTTAACTATATGGCGGTATATTGTAAGTAATCGAGTCTGGACCGGTTAGTCCAGTGATCAACATCATGAACCGAGAGAGCGAGAGACATTGATACATCGTGTATGTGCCGAATGCTGCTCCGCCTGCACCTCGCCAGCAACAGCTGACCTCGGCCTGATAAGCACATGCTTCTCAATGTGTCTGTGTCAATATAACATTCTGAATAACTTTTTTTCTCACTGTAATTTTAAAAATTAGAATTTGAATAAACAAGGTATTTTTCTCTTCTATTAGTGTTCAGAGAGGTCAATGTTGGCTGATTATGGCTTGTTGTTTAACGCCGCACTGAGCAATGTTCCAGCTATATGGCGGCTATCTGTAAATAATCGAGCCTGGACCAGACAGTGATCAGCATTATGAACATCGATCTTTGCAACTGTGATACGATGACATGAGTCAACCAAGTCAGCCAGCCTGTCCACCCGATCCCGTTAGTCGCCTCCTACGACAAGCCGACAAGCATGGGCTACTGAGAATCAATTCTAACCCGGACCTTCACGGGTGGGAGAAGTCAATGGGAGTTATCCAGTAACAATTACACAACACATGCATTTTAGTTCTTGGAAGGCATTTAGAAGTTGGATGAACATGAATACATGTGAACGGTCACTTACTGTTTAGATATATGTTTCAAACTCAGTATACGTATGTGTAAAAGATTAAACCGCTTAGTTGGGAAACACAGGGAGTAGGTGTAGAACAGGGAAAGAATTGTAACCAGTATTGTTTATGTTGTTTCAAAGATTTTCTGAAAGTTGCTTTACTGGACATTTAGTTTTTTGGCCACTTTAATGCATCAACATTCTCTTTTGGTTATGTTGACACATTATCTGAATTTCTTGTTAGCATACCAACACCGGGTGCGTGTTTTATAGACATTATAAACCTAAACCTAATTTGGTCCATTTTATTGAAGAGGTAGCTTAACACCTTGGAATAATCTCCAGTTGGAGGTTTTACCAGTGGTAAAACCCTGTAGAGGTTTTACTTTTTGAATAAAGACCCCTAAGCGGGTGTTACCAGTGGGAATACCTGTGGCAAGATAAAATAACAAAATTCAAAAGATAATATTCTATATTTTATTATTAACTGCTTAAAGCTTAGAGTGACAGGGAAAGTTTTGTGCCAGTCAGTAGATGGGATTTCGGGTTGTGAACGAGCCTCTCCAACAGCACATTCTGGCTGTGGGTCGGTCTTTGTAACCATGGTTACGGTGGTTTGCGGGTGGGCCTCGGCTGGTCTTGACTTTTCAGGTAGTTGGACACTGCAGCTTTCTGGTCGTCAGATAACCGTTTGTACACCCTTACTGCCTCACTGCGATATCCTAGACAATAGAAATATTTGTTACATATGTTATATTTGGGATTACACTTTCATAGGAAAATACAAATTCTAGTACTTTTTTTGGGTTGAGACCGATATGCGCCCAGCCGAGAGAACACTTACGGAAAGGGTCGAGTTCAACCGATTGCGACAAACCACACCCGAACACACAGCCAGCCGAAAGGTAGACTTAAGTCATTGACTTGTGATTTTCTGTAAAGTACATATTGTTAAACTGACAACTGATACCAGTTATTGTGTTTTGTCAAATGTTGTTCATTATCTGATAGAAATATACGAGTGTCAATACGTCTTGAAATCAGTGATAATTGTGAGGGTAAGTTGTCTACTTTCGTTATCACTTTAAACAATGGCCCCTCAATGTTGTTGTTACACCTAGCACTGGAGCTAAGTAGGTAAATCCAATTATACAAAGGTTTTGTCATTGACTGATTCATGGACTTGATTAATGGTGTTCATGTGTAATTTCAATAGATGTATCCGTTCAATCGTTCCTCCTACCGTGTTTTTTGCGATACCTTACTACTGGTGGCTGCGGGGCTTGCCGATCATGTGCATTGTCAGTGTTTGTCTCTGAAAAGGGTTGAGGTTAAAGGTGAGTGAATAGATTATATATATGTACATGATCCAAGTCGTGGCGGTGCAGATATGTCGGTTGTGTTTTCCACGCTTGAAGTGCATGTATCTGGCAGGAATAAAGGTTTTTGGCCGAACTCCCCTTATGTTATACTGTTCAATTGAGACAGTCAGGGAAAATCCCGTGTATACCCCAATTGGGAATAGGAAGGCCAGTCCATGACGTCAACACCAGCGTTAGTAACAACAAGGTGGGGCTCGACGTTGTCATGGTAACATGTCAGTTCAGGATCATGTAGCTGCTTATATGGCAGAAGAACGTGGGTGAAAACACACACACACACTCTCTCTCTCTCTCTCTCTCTCTCTCTCTCTCTCTCTCTCTCTCTATATATATATATATATATATATATATATATATATAGTGTGTGTGTGTGTGTGTGTGTGTGTGTTCACCCACGTTCTTCTGCCATATATATACAGTTAGATAGATAGATAGGCAGGTAGATAGAAATCCGTTTATATTTAAAGTGTGTATGTGTGTGTGAGTGTGTTTGTACACAGCTTCACATGCAGATGCGCGTATGTTCAGATCTTCCATTGCTGCAATTGGAATCTGTAGTGAGTAAACCGTAGTCTATTTGTATTAAACTAAACAGGCACAAACTGCATGTGTATGTTACAGATGGCGACCGCCGGGCTGGAGAGGAAAGTAAAGGATAATTTCCTGACGTGCTCCATCTGCTTCGAGATGTACACAGACCCGTGTACATTGAAGTGTGATCACACATTCTGCAGTAAATGTGGCACCTCATACATCCAAACCAGACCTGTTGCTGTACAGTCCAAGACCATCCCCTGTCCCTGCTGTCGACAAGACACCAAGGTCCCCCACCCCAGCAGGCCGGTGGAGGAGTGGGCGGCGCAGGTCAAACCCAGCATCATTATACAGGGGCTGATTGACACCTATAGGTCCGAGGAAGATGTGCAAGGTAAAGTGAAATATGATATGCGTGTGTGCGTGTGCGTGTGTGTATGTATGTATTTAAGACTGGTAGTAGACATAACATTGACATTTGTGTTGTTTTAAAATTTAGCCTGCTTACTTTCCTAGCCTTTCCATATTTCAACGGAAATAAGTACGTGTGTTTACAGAGACCTCAAGCACCTGTTGTACGATCTGTCAGCAACTAGGGGAGACAACTCCAGCAGCCTTGTGGTGTGCTGAGTGTGAAGTGGTCCTCTGTGACAAATGTGTGAAGATACACCGGGTGACCCCTACTTTATTGAACCATGACCTATGTGACCTGTCGTCTAGGTCAAAGGTCAAACGGAGCATCAAGTGTACGGAACACAAGAGTAACCGTGTTGAGTTCCACTGTCAAGACTGTGGGAAGGCTTGTTTGAGTGGCATTTTAGAAGTTGAGACGTACAATATATAACAAGTTTTATGGATAACAACTTCTTTATTTTCGTGAGTGCGACGTTTCGATACAGATTCTTGTACCGTTGTCAAGCAAGAGTGATACATGAAGTGTAGGAGCTGCATATATATACTGTATATAACAATGAAACAACATAATAGACAAAGGAAACAACATAATTGCCATGATTGGCTAAGCAGTAAGCTGATGAAGCCAGTAAGTACATAAAGGATAGTGAATGGAAGCCAGAGATGTAGTTACAATGAGATGTTTATACAATGGATGCGATGTTTATACAATAGACTGGGCTTGGTGGAGGAGTGGATCATAAGCAGATGGAATGAAGTATCCTTGGTCACGGTTGATGGTAGGCTTGTGGCGTTTGTTGTTTCCTTTGTCTATTATGTTGTTTCATTGTTATATACAGTATATATATGCAGCGCCTACACTTCATGTATCACTCTTGCTTGACAACGGTACAAGAATCTGTATCGAAACGTCGCACTCACGAAAATAAAGAAGTTGTTATCCATAAAACTTGTTATATATTGTGGGAAGGCTGCCTGTCAGACATGTTGTATCATCTACCACAGAGCTTGTGAGGCTGTCATCACCATTGAGTCTATGAAGGCAGGGATGAAGGCAGCACTGATGGAGAAGAGACTTGGCATGGAGAAGATACTGAAAGTGAGGTCGAAGAAAGTAGACATACGAAACGAAAAGCTCCAAAGTAATTCTAGAATCACAGAGTCAGCTGTTCAAAATATTAGGTTGGTCTGCAAGACAGCCATTAACAAGTTTAAACAGAAAGAAACACAACTCTTGGATGAACTGAATAACTTATCACAGACATACGCCGGCCAACTCCGAGCTGATGTGAAGCTGGAAGAGATCGAGATGCAGATGTACAGTCAACATTGTGAGTTCATAGACCAGGCCTTGGTATCGGACTGTGAGATGGACCTGTATGACGCGTATCAGGTCTGGGAGTCTGGAGCTGTAAAGATGGAGGATGTCAGGGATACAGAGGCAGCAGACACCCGGAGAATAGATCACATCTGGTTTACACCTGACACTGACAATGTCCTGAAGGTCCTAGATAACCTGCAGTTGGGAGAGATTGACGTCACATATCAGGATCAGGGTACATCCCTGCCATCTCTAGTGCTGGTTGACACGATAGATGGGAGGGTGGCGGATGATGATGAGGAGTCTGATTTATTGAAAGTGACAGTCCTGGTTGTAGATGGTGTACAGACATGTGTTGTTACGGACTATAATAACAAGTGTGTGAAATCATACTTCACAAGAAATAGTCAGTCATGCCGCAGTAAACTTCCCCTGGATAACACCCCACATGGGATGACACAGTTGAATGAGAAGCAGGTGATAGTTGCTGTCCCAGACTTCCTTCAGATTGTAACAGTAGAAGTGACCCCTGACCTGGTGCTGCTGTCAACCATCACAACCCGTACCAAATACTACAGTCTGGCTGTTCTGAATCCTTCATCTCTAGCAGCAGGTACTTGGAAATGTGTTGATATCCTGGACATGGCTGGACACGTGTTGAGGTCAATCACTACATACAATGATGACTCACTGTTTACCTACCCCTTCTACATGTGTGTCAACACCAAGGGCAACCTACTCGTGTCTGACAAGGGGATCACATCTGTGACATGTCTGACGTCAGAGGGGAATGTTGTGTGGAGTTACGCCTTTACAGAAGACGGAGAACTCACCTTCCCTTGTGGTATCACAACTACCAGCAGAGGAGACATCCTGCTTGTAGACAGGCACACTCACAAGGTGATACAACTGACAGAGTCAGGGGATTATGTCAGGGAGCTGCTCACGATAGAACATGATGATGAGACAGGCATGTCCGATGTATACTGTGATAAATGCGGTTTCCTATTTCTATGCAAGGACACGGAAGTGAAAGAGTACATGTTTGTCTGATATAGAAAACAAAATAATGAAAGTACGTGCAGATCTGTGGTTTAAGCGTTTGTCACTGACGGTTCGTTATATACTGTGCATGTGGTTAGTCTGGAAATGTTTGTGTGTTCACCAACTGTATGAGCATTGCTTTGTCAGTGAATTGCACACATGCAGTATTCAATTAGGTCATTTCCAGAATGATTGACTGACTGACTGAGTTTAGTTTTACGCCGCTTTTAGCAATATTCCAGCAATATGACGGCGGGGGACACCAGATATGGGCTTAACACATTGTGCCCATGTGGTGAATCGAACCCGGGTCTTCGGCGTGACGAGCAAACGCTTTAACCACTAGGCTACCCCACCGCCCCCCATTTCAAGAATGAAGTGAAGTAGTCCACATGATCACAAGGTGAAAGACACCAGTGGATATAGCTATTGGGACAGTCTTAGGATGACCTGAGCTACACAACAATTACTTAATCTCAACAGTGTGCTGAACCTGGCGCTACCTGACGTATAAACATCCTCGGCACAGCTTAAATGTAAAGAAATCCCCAAAGGATGTATACCTCTCCTTTTAAAGTATGCATGAAACCCAGGAGATATATAGACTAATATATGGATGGACTAGGACAAGGTCAGCCTTCCTGCTACCTGAAGTATAAACGTCCTGGGCAAAGGAAACCCCAAAGATTGGTCAGTTTTACAGTATCGATACACGTGATCTTGAGGATCTGAGGATATAGTTTATATTGTCCAGTACAGACATACCATATGCAGTTATAGGTCATTTCTAGCAATTAAATGGAGTATGATGACTGGGTGAAACACATCAGTGTTGACAGTGGTTATAGAGAGTGTTGACAGTGGTTATAGATATACTTAGCCGGAGGACAATGTAATCTTAACATAGAAGCTGAATGGACACCGATCCAGCTGCAGTAGGCTGTCTCAAACCCATTATTTCCCCGATTGCTTATCGCCATCTGCAATGCCGAATCCCTAGATTTCCTCATGTTCTTTTTCGGGCGCTTTTTCAATTTAATTGGGATTATTTGTTGCTATCAAAATTATAGATATTCACAGACAAAGCTTTATTATACCATCTGATACATATAACTCCAATTAAAATGAAAAGGAACTTCATCTAGAACATTTCTTGCATTACATTATGTTAGTGCAAATACGGTTATTCGGTGCTGCTGTGGACAAAATGTGAAGGTAAATGCAAGTTCACGTGGGAAGTCTTTTTTTTTTTTTTTCGTAATTTAAATTTTATTTCTGAAACCCTGTTACACTCAAGACTCAGCAGTCAGGGAACTGCTCAGTCAGAAGACATGCAGCAATCTAATGGGATACAGGTGTAAGTTTTTACGAAACAAGACAAACCATCCACTCACCATCCACACAAACACAAGATTATTTCTAATTATCAAACAAATTAATTAAGAATATAATTTATTCAGTCGTCTTTGAATAAGCCATGATACGAGAGCCATTTAGAATAAAATTCGGTGTGACAGCTTTTGAAACAGAAAATACATTTTTCAAAACTGTATCTCAATCTCAACTTACTTCTGAACTGAGCAATATTTGGTGAAGCAGAATTAAGCTTGCATTTGTACATTTAATAGTTTCGAAATAATATGAGCAAGTCAAAAACAGATTCAGTAAAACATTTTTCTTACAGTCAAATGTGTCAGTTCCAGAGTGAGTTTGAGATTATGGATGTGATCACAACCTTCTGTTAACCATGATAAAAAAATTACCAAAAGGTTTGCACAAATTCACATTCCCATAACAAGTGACAAATAGATTCCTTTTCTTCATTACAGAATGAACATAAATCAGAATCTTTTATTCTAATTATTTTAGAAATGTATTGGTAGTTAAAATTCTATGGAGTATCCTGATACATTTCATTACCATCAACCAATGACAAATAAATGCCATTTTCATCAACAAGATCACTAATTTGAGAGATACCCCTTTGAAACCACCCTTCATAAAAACATGTTTTCTTATTTCTTGACGTAGAGCCGGACTAGACAAAACGGTTACATTCATGATCCAAATAGGGCGATGGAGCTGCTTGAAATGTCATTATTCAACCACGGGCTGTGATCGTTATGCACGTGCATTACAACTTTAACTGTATAAAAGGTATGTTTATATGGAAAAGGTATTACTATATGCTGATTTCTGTGAAACATAGCAAGAGTTTCAGATTCATCGTGCATGTTGCATTTCAACTTTATGCTTGACATTGTGTAGGAACATAACAGTTGCAAACAGGAAGCTGCAACATTTAGTTTAGATTGCACACCTCGGGAGGTGATATAATGAACTCAACTTCTATTTGAAGTATCAAATCATTTGCTAGCATCATCAAAAACTGTTCACTAAAGTTGGGGAATATTTCATCACCTTTTCCAAAAACAAATGCAAAGCAGTATAACTAAAACATGCTGGAGAATTTACAAACGTAATGTTTGACACTGAATATGCTCATCGTAGACTGATTTATATTGGACACAACACATATTATCAACATGAAACATCCGGTAAGAAAAGGCTATGAAAAGACTGACTGACTGAGTTTAGTTTTACGCCGCTTTTAGCAATATTCCAGCAATATGACGGCGGGGGACACCAGATATGGGCTTCACACATTGTATCCATGTGGGGATTCGAACCCGGGTCTTCGGCGTGACGAGCCAACGCTTTAACCACTAGGCTACCCCACCGCCCCACTATGAAAAGAAATCATCCCTATTCTGTACATAAAAATTATTGCACTTTTTGCATGAATCTTGGAATGGCAGAGAAAACCATTCATCTATTAGCCTGATATGCCGGTGATCTTAATTGTCACAATGTCACGTGGTCTAGAAGCCAGACCCCCCAAATGGTGAAAATGTGGTGCAGTTCTGGCGACCAAACGGGATGTGATTTTTCACAATCAGGAATGATTTAGCTTTGATTTAAAGCCGGTTGTCATCAGCTACCGTGCGTGACCACCGTACAGAGGCCCTTTTAAGGTGCAATATGTCATGTCAGTTATGGCAATACTTTAACCGATAACTGGGTGGTTTAATTTAATAACTATGGTTTGGAGTGACCGATTTTCATCAAAATAGTAGTTTTGGAATGCTCAGATCATGATTTAAAATTGTGGACAATAATATTACATATATGTTCATCGCAAAAATATTTTGGTAAGGTCAAAGGTCAATTTTAATAGAAAGGGCATTTGATGAGAAAATATGGGTTGAACTTTACAAATCAAAGGTAATTGTTTCCAAAATTATGTGTTTCTAATTCAGCTATATCATTTGAAGATCATATATACCTTTGGTTTGCACTGTATGCATGAAAAAACCATTACAAGGAAACAAAAGTTGGTACTTTGTATCTAGATCAGCAAAACATTATATAATGTCTGTTCAACAGTAACAGCTCCATGCTTTACATAGGCAACGATACCAAATATGTCGATGGTACTGTCGGACTATCTCTAAAATCACACAACATAACAGAAAGCTCTTAAATGTAAAATTCTATTATTCCAGATGTCTTTCTTTGCTCATCAAAGAATGATGAGTCAGCCATGTCATCATAACTCAAGCAACATTTCCTTCATATCAATTCGTGTCTATTGTTCCTAATAGTCATAGTGTATTCCTAGTTGACATGGTAGCCAATGTCAACAATGTCAAGATCACGGGAACATGTTTCAAATCCACATTCACATGCCGAAGTACACAACAGGTTCAACCTCTTTGACACCTTCCTGTACATTGTCTTTTACATGCACAGTTATGAAGTTGAAGAAGGTCCACGGAAACCATTTAGTCTTAACTTATTTGCAACTTTATCAATTTTACAAATTTAAGGTAATTTTACCAAAATTATGTTTTTATAATTCACCTATATCATTTGAAGATCATACATATCTTTGGTTGGCACTGCATGCATGAAACACAACAATTCACCTGATGTCAGAAGGAGATATGTTTTGATAAGTGTCAATATTGTTTATATATGTGTCACTTCACGCTCCAGCTGCAATGACATGCCGTGAAACCCTTACAGTTGATGGATAATAGTATGACATCCTAATGAAAGGTTTACAAGTGACATTATGGTGTTCCATTTTTTCTGTTTACAATGTGAAATATTACGACTTTGGTTTTATTTATTTATTTTACACCAGCAAAAGATATGACACACTGATCAGAAAGGCGTTATGGTATCTTACCACCAAATGTACACATCCGTCATATACCTCTGAAATACACAGTATTTCCAATGCATTCCTTTTGATTGTAATATAGGTGATGTAATTTCCGACTCTTTTCTAAGTTTACTTGGGTTCGAAATATGAATATTTCCTTAGGTGGGAAAACATTTGTAAATTTGCAAGTTTTCAAATGTTTTCATGGCTTAAAACCTTGTGCATCATTCCGGATATCAAGGGTAAGTATTTGAACACATTCTATAATAATATGCTCATGTTACCAGTACTAGAACAAAATGGTCAAAGAAAATCTGGGTTCACATTGTGCTATTCACATTGAGGTTTGATAGTTGTTTAGGCTATGCAATATGTTATTACTCTCTCCTGGTTTATTGGGAGTTCACTGACAACATTACAGTTTGCAACATGTTTCGCATCCATGCATTATACAGCGCTGTTCTTGATTCATGATTCATGCATTCAATCAAAAACAAAACATCTGTAAAAATACTTGTGATCGAAACCTGCTTAAAGCTGCATTACTCACAGGTACTTTCACACGGTGTTGTTTTACTTTTCAAAGTTCTTTTAGGTAAGCTTTTTTTCAAATGTATTGATTAAGTATTTCAAGCAACGCTGCGGGTTATCTGGATGTCTGGACGTATCAACGCATTAACGCCATGAACATATACCTCCCATCTTTCTTTCCTCTATCTCCACTACCCCATGGATAATTGAAGAAAATAATCATCCTGATTAAGAGATCGCACAAGCA